AGCACCTGAAAATCTCTGGGGTGAAGCTCTTCTTTCTGCTTGCTTCATTCTCAATAGGATTCCCCAGAAATATTCCGATACAACTCCTTATGAATATTGGAAGGGGAGATCTCCTAATCTAAATTTCTTCCGGGTTTGGGGTTGCTTGGCTAAAGTAGCTATTCCCGAACCTAAGAAGAGAAAAATTGGTTCTAAGACTGTAGATGCTGCTTTTATTGGATATGCACTTGATAGCAATGTTAACAGATTTTTAGTCATCAAATCTGAAATCAGTGACATATCCAACAATACCATCATTGAAGCAAGAGATGCAGTCTACTTTGAAAACATCTTTCCTTTCAAATCTAAAATCTCAGAAAATCCCAGATCATCCATTCCTTCTGATCTTCCATCTTCCAGTTCTTTTCAACCTCTTGATATTGAACCTCGAAGAAGCAAAAGAGGTAGAATCGAAAAGAATTTTGGAGAAGACTTCCTTACCTTTCTTGTTGAAGGTGATCCAAGCTCATTCCAAGAAGCAATGGATTCACCTGAATCTCCTTTCTGGAAAGAAGCCATTGATAATGAAATTAAATCTATCATGGAAAACCATACTTGGATACTCACCGACTTACCTCCAGGTTGTAAACCTATTGGTTGTAAGTGGATATTCAAGAAGAAACTCAGAGCTGATGGTTCCATAGATAAATTTAAAGCTAGATTAGTAGCTAAAGGCTTTACTCAACAAAAGGGCATTGATTATTTTGATACATATTCTCCTGTAGCCCGAATATCAACTATCCGAGTATTACTAGCCTTTGCTGCTATCCATAAGCTTATCATACATCAGATGGATGTCAAGACTGCTTTCCTGAATGGTGATTTAGATGAAGAAATCTATATGCACCAACCTGAAGGCCTCATTGCCAAGGGTCAGGAAAACAAAGTCTGTAAGCTTGTTAAATCTTTGTATGGTCTTAAACAAGCTCCTAAACAATGGCACCAGAAATTTGACAACGTCATTGCACAATATGGCTTCACTGTGAATGAATACGATAAATGTGTCTATTCTAAAGTGATAAACAATGACTATGTCATTCTCTGTCTCTATGTTGATGATATCCTTATCTTTGGAACAACACTTGAATTAATTTCAAAGGTAAAGGATTATCTTTCCAAAAAATTTTGATATGAAAGACTTAGGTCTTGCAGACATGATACTTGGAATGAAAATCTCTAGAGACACTAGAGGAATATCTTTGAGTCTTTCCCATAGCATTGATAAAATGCTAATCAAATTCAACTTTCATAACTCTAAACCTGTTTCCACACCTTATGATTCTTCTATACCTTTGAAGAAGAATGAAGGTGAACCTGTCTCCCAACTAAAATATTCTCAGATGATTGGATCTCTTCTTTACATATCCAACCGAACCAGACCTGATATAGCTTATGCTGTAGGGAGACTGAGTCGGTATACTAGCAACCCTAGCAAAGATCATTGGTCTGCCTTAGAAAGAGTATTCAAATATCTAAAAGGCACAATTGACTATTGCTTGACTTACACTGGTTACCCTGATGCTATAGAAGGGTATAGTGACGCCAATTGGGTCACGGATTCCAACAGTGTAAAGTCTACATCTGGATATGTATTTCTTTTTGGTGGTGCTGCTGTATCCTGGAAATCATGTAAGCAAACAATAATTGCCAGGAGCACCATGGAATCTGAGCTAATTGCTCTTGATACTACTTGCACAGAAGCCGAATGGTTAAAAGATCTTCTATCTGAACTTCCTTTGGTCCCTAAACCCTCTCCTCCTATTTCCATTCACTCTGATTCTAGATCTACCATAGAGCTTCTAAAGCAAGTACATGTAAATAAAAAACATAACAGACATATTCAAATAAGATATAAGTCTGTACAACGCCTATTAGGCAAAGTTGTGATCTTGGACTTTGTAAAGTCTGAGAAAAATCTTGCTGACCCTTTGACTAAGGGATTATCCAGGAGTGTGGTTCTGGATTCATCGAGGGAGATGGGGTTAAGCCCATAAATGAGGTCACTGACAGCGGCAACCCAACCCTTATTTGGAGACGTAGTCCCAATGTCGGTTCAATGTGGTAGAAACAAGCTGGACAAGTGACTCTCGTGTGGAGCATCGACCTAGATATATTTATATATCATTATGTAGCATTTGCTACTACCCCTTCTCTATGGTGACGATGCTCTTATGATACAGCTGGCTAGGCTGAGTTTTACTCTTAATAAGTCCAACGCGTGTATTGTGGGGGGTATTAAATAAACAGCTGTAGTACCCTTTGAGGACTTACCTACGTGAGAGGAACCGTGATGGCCGCGGTTGGGGGGGACAGGGCTGACCCCTAGAAACTCTCATGAGTCGGTTTTTTGTGAGCATGGCCTTTAACGCTCAACCCGCTTTGCTCAATAGATGAAGCGTATTGTGTGTGTTTTCATCAATACCTGATTAAAGGGAGATATACTCACAAAGGTGATCCCGAACAACAAGTTCGATCATTGTAGAAGCTGTTGGAAGCTTTGTTCATGAAAAGGCAATTTTGCCTTTGTGAATAGTCTCACATTAGAAAATGAGATAAATTTTGCTTCCCAAGCTTTTATTTTTGCACGTTTTACACGTTCTGTAACGACTGCATCCGCGTAACGGAAGCAAGATTCGTGCGTAACGGTCCCTTGGATTCAGCGGGGGTTACACCTCTCCTCACCTATATAAGCAGGCTTGGAGCTCATTCAGAAGTACACCAACGAAGAGAAAAACATCTTCTAAGCTCTCTTCTTTCTCTACTCTTATTCCTCAAAGAAATTTCGGCTACATATTTGTATTAATTTTTTGGGCAACCGTTTTCGTCTGAGCATAAGCTCTGTGACTCACGCCCGAGTGTAGAGGCCGGCCGATTCCGGGGGTTTTTACCGCTAGGGGAGAGGGGACAAATTGCGCCAGGGCGATAGGCGGGTCCTTTGCAGTGATATCACGACTGCTCCCGATCAGGCCTGAATTTTCTAACTCTTTAATTTGTTTTATATTATTATATTCCTATTTTGACAGCATTATGATAGTCTATGCTTAGTAAATTTAAATTAAAATGTGATAAAAAACGAGTAGTTCATAAAATCCTACTTGAAATTAGTTAGTGGATTAATCTAGATACCTAAGCTGTTCTACTTATTTTTTCCTCAAGTCTTTCATTATTTTGATTTTACTCCACCTCTTGACTTTTCTTTTATTTGATTATCCCTTCTCTTGATTTTCTTTTATGGATTTTCCCTTTTCTCCTTTTTCTTATTTATATTTCTCTTTTTATTTTCGTCTGGTTTTCTTTTTATTGTTATTTTATTTGTCTCGTTCTTTTCCTCTTCTTCACTATTATTTTTATTTTATTTTCATTTTTGTCACAAATAATTCTCTCTACTTCTCTACATACTTTTACTTTCACCCCTTTTTGTCCGCACATTTCCACGACCAGTTTTAGGATTTTTCAAACATACACCCTCCTCTTGGGTTTGACATCTTTCTATACTATAACGTTATAGTTTCTCTTACAACTTTTGCATGTTTATTATGTGAATATCAACCATTAAAATTTTGAATTACAAAAAAGTAATCTAAATCTAAAATTTTAAAATTTACAAGTAACAAACCATGAGATTTAGAAATTACCAACAGCCCCTGAAACATAAAAATTTATAAGAACACCCAAAAGGTTTAAAATTTGCAAAGACACCCTAAAGTTCAAAATTACAAAAAAACCTGAAATTAAAAAACTTACACCCCAAGGAAATTTAAAAAATTACCAATAACCCTTGAGAAATTATAGGTTGCAAAAGACACCCTTAAAATTTTGAAATTTCAAAAAATATCCTAAAACTTTATAATTGCAAAAAACACCCTAAAAATTCAAACTTGCAACAAACACACATTAAACGTAAAAATTAATAGCAACCCCCTAAAACTTTAAAATTACACAAAACACCCTCAACTTTTTAAATTTGGAAAAACACCCTCAACATTTCCAAATTGTAAAAATATCTTGAAATTTCAAAACTTATAATCGGCACACATGAAATCTGGAGAATATCATCAGCCCCCCTGAAAGTAATTTTAACTTTTCAGTGTGTTTTTATCAAAATTTGGTACTTTAGGGTGCTTTCTGTAAATTTTAGATTTTCAGAGGGGCTGATGGTAATATCGTGATTTCATGTGTGACAGTTGTGTGGCTTGATAATTATAAGAGGTGATTTTGAAATTTTAGTAATTTTGTATAACTTGAGAAGAAATTATAAATAGTTTTAGATGTCAAATGGATGGTGTTGAATACTATAATCGTATAAAATCTCTTTTTTAGCTTTCTTAAATTAGAGCAAAGAAATTACTATTCAAGGAAAGTTAATACTATAGAATTTTTTTGAAGCAATCAATGAATCAAGGAGAATGGATAGGAACAAAAGATATTTGAAGCAATGAATATGAAAGGATCTAATGGCTACAGCCATCCAATTCGTAATGATTAATAAACATTTCTCAACATGTTTTATTATTTTAATATCATATAATAGTAATTTGTTTTCATGTTATGAATTTATTTATCTCAAGAAAAATCTTATGAAAATAAAAAATGAGAAATCTTATGAACATTTTCTTCTTTTTTATGTGTTTATTTTTTTTCTATTTGATGTAGGGTTGTGCAATGGGTCGGCCGGTTAGGTTTTTGGTCAAATTTGACCAAACCCAACCGAACTGCCTATCATTGAAAACCGAACCGATCCGATTCAAGTTGGTTTGGTTCAGTTCAAGTTGGTTTGTTCGGTTTTCACTTGGGTGTAACTGTTATATCCAAATTCTATTTCACCTCTAATTTGTTGATGTAGAAAAAAAACTCTTACACTTTAATTTATTAAAATTCATAAACTATCAAACACTACTTAATATTAGATGTAAAAATCAAAATCTTATCTTTTCTGCTCAGCAGAAGCAAGGGTTCTCAGCTACAAATTCTGATCAAGGCTGGACTCTTGTTTCTCATAAGAAGAAAAGGAGACCCATGGATAAGCTTCTCCGTCATCCTTTTCCTGCCGACTATATGGACCCCAAACAACATCGCAGATGTTTTAATTGTGGTGATGAGAGGCACTCAATCAAGTTCTGTCCTAAAGGGGCGTTCATTTGTTTCAAGTGTCACGAAGAAGGACATGTTGCCAAGCAGTGTAGATCACATCTTCGTCCTGTAGAGAAAAAAATCGATCTATCAGATTCGGAAACTATCTTCTCTAATTCTAAGGTATTGGCGTCTTTTGGAATTCTCACTATTACAGAAGGTTCTCCATCCCTAGAATTAATCAAACTCAGGTTGGGTTGGTTTTTTAATTGGCAACGATGGTCAGGCAAAGTTTTTCCTCTTCAAGCTAACAGTTTTTTGATCGAGTTTCCTTCGGTCTTCCAATTATCTGAAGCAGTGGATATAAAAACTATTAATTTTGAGATTTTTAAAGGATGTATTGCACCTTGGAATGAAAACTTTGGTATGAAAACTATAGATTCATCCTTCTACCAGTGGATTAAATTCAAAAATTTACCTCTACAGTTTTGGTCTACAGATATTATTGCAAAGATCGTTGGGACATTTGGTGAAATGATTAAATGTTGTAAAAATATTTCAGAGAAATTAAATGGCCAAGATGTTCGCATTTTGGTTAAAATTAAATCTGCTGATTGTATTCCTCAAACGATCTTATGCTCTTACATGTCTCAAGTAGATTCTTTCACTAGAGAGGTCAAATTAGAAATTAATCCTATTGGAGTTGGCCAACAGGGATCGGATGTCATCGGGAAACATCTATCATCTATGGAGGCACAAGGTGATATTGTGTTGGAGTCACAATGGATTGATCAAGTTAGTGCTCCGGTTAAGTCTACCCCGATCATCGATCAAATTCATCCAAGCAAATTGTTGGCAGAAAAAGGCAAGTGCATTATGGAAAAGCAAAATTTTTTGAATTCAGCAGAATCAAAGGGATTTCATAAAGATTCTCCTTGCAAGGAAAGTTTTCAAAATTTTGAAAACAATAACAAGACTCCAAATTTCACGGATATGGACGTTTTTACAAAAGCTAAAAATCAGGAAGAAAAAATCAGTGACAGCTCAGAATCAATTCCAGATTCTTTTAGAGATTTCCCCTTGGATTTAGTGAAACAAACTTGGAAGGGTCGTTCTTTCTTTATTGAACGGTCAACATGGGAGGCTTTTATTGGCGGGAAGGGAGATTCCTCAAATTCAATTTCAGCCACCGTCTCTTTCCCACAAAAATCTAACCAAACTCCAGCATTACAACCTTCACTTTCTATTCCTCCGGGGTTCTCTCAGAAAGCTGCTTCTTCATCAACATCTCGTTCATCTCGAAAGATAGCTCTCAGCCAGAAACACAGGAGTTTTCTGAAGCTGGCTTCATCTTCAAAAACAGTTGTTCGATCGGTCAAAAAAGGTATGAAGAAAAAACCTACTAACTTGGCCATTAATTCTTTATCAAATGATATCATTGATGATGTTGCTGCTAATTGCGGTGTTAATTTATCTGCTCAATCTGTGGAAGTTTTGAAAGCCAAAGAGGTAGAGAGTAACCAACAGAATTTATAATCTGTTGATTAAGTCTCTATGGGGTTGATGATATTTTCTTTTAATGAGTTTTGCTACATGGAATGTTAGGGGTCTTAATGACCCAATTAAAAGGCATTTGGTTAAGGATTTCCTCTCTCGATCATCTATTGACGTTGTTGGTATTCAGGAAAGCAAATTGTCTAAACCTACAGAAAGGATTCTTAAATCTATAGGTGGTAAGAAGCTAGTTCATTGGTGTTCTTTGGAATCAACAGACACTAGAGGAGGAGTTGTTGTTGGTTGGTCTGATGCATTTTCTTCTATCCAAACATACATTGGAATTTTCTCAGTCTCAGTTATTCTTCTCCACAAACCATCAAATTGGAAATTTGTTTTTTCTTCTGTTTATGCCCCTATTGATAAGGTGGTGGGAGCTTCAAAGAATTCGTACTATCTTACCAGGACCTTGGATTCTTTGTGGGGATTTCAATGCCACTTTAACATCAGATGAACGTAGTGGTAGGAATAGTTCACCTTTGGATATGAACTCTTTCAGAAATTTTGTGTCATCTGCATCTCTTATTGATATTCCTCTTTCTGGAAGAACTTTCACTTGGTCCAATAAGAGACTGAATCCTTCTATGGCCAGGTTAGATAGATTCCTTGTATGTCCAGAATGGGAAAAACATTTTCCCTCATGTTTGCAATTTTCTCCTCCATCTGTGGGTTCAGACCATTGTCCAATTCTTCTTGACACTGGAGGTATCAAGCCAAGTCCTCAATTATTCAGATTTGAAAGAAGTTGGTTTCATAGTCCTGTTTTTATTCCTTACATCTATAGTTGCTGGAAGAATTTTAAATGTCAAGGTAATCCTGTAGATGTTTTTATTTTGAAGCTAAAACTTCTTAAGAAAAGAATTAAGTGGTGGAGAAAATATATCTTGGGATCCATATCCTCTAGAAAACCAGTCTTGTTATCCAGAATACATCAGTTTGATTTGATAGAAGAGCAAAGAAATCTTTCTTATACAGAATTTGAAGAAAGGAAAAATCCTCCTTTCTAATTTCTCATCAATTATTAAGGAAGAGGAGACTTATTGGCATCAAAGATCTAGAGTCCAATGGCTTCAAGAAGGTGATTCCAATACATCTTTTTTCCACAAGACCGCTTCTTTTCACAAAAAATCAAATTACATCTCTCATATTATACATCAGGGCAGAGAGTTAACTGAAGATCATGATATATCCACAGCCTTTTTGGATTACTATTCTAGCCTTTTTGGACAATCCAATAGAAACACTTTTCCTATTGATTGGTCCACTTTATACCCTGATTGTGATTTGAATCTTTCTTCTCTAGATAATCCTTTTTCTGAGGAAGAAATTAAAAAGGCTGTTTTTGATATGAAGCCTAATAAAGCACCTGGTCCAGATGGTTTTTCTATGGTCTTCTACCAAAAATTTTGGGATTTAATCAACACAGATATTGTCAGTCTTATGAATTTCTTTTATCAAGACTCATCTAGTATTCACAGAATAAATAAAGTTTTCATAACTCTAATCCCAAAGACTAAAGATAGCTCCTTGGTGAAGGACTTCAGGCCTATCAGTTTAATAAATTGCCTCTTAAAGATTTTTACTAAAATTTTGGCAACAAGATTAATTCCTTTTATGCCAAAATTAGTTGAATCTACTCAATCTGCTTTTCTGAAGGGCAAATCAACAATGGATTCCATACTTTATGCAAATGAGATGATACACTTCTGTTCTAAGAGAAAAAAAGAGGTGGCTATGTTTAAGATAGACTTTGCCAAAGCTTTTGATTCAATTAATTGGAATTTTCTTATTTCCTTATTAAAGGCAAGGGGTTTTGGTAGAAGATGGTGCATGTGGATACAAGATATTATCTCATCCTCTAGTTGTGCTATATTAGTTAATGGTCATCCAACAAATTTTTTTTCTTGTCAAAAAGGATTAAAACAAGGTGATCCTTTATCACCTTTGCTTTTAAACATTGTAGTGGATGTTCTTGCTAAAATGATCAAAAACAATGTTGAGGAAGGTCTCCTCTCTAATCTTGGAATCAAAGCACCCCTAAATCAATAGAGGTCAATTCAATATGCTGATGACACTTTGCTTTTTGTCAAAAGCAACTCATACAACGTATCTATTCTCAAAACAATCTTGTTTATTTTTGAGGAGATATCTGGCCTTGGTATCAATTACTCAAAATCTTCTTTGATTTATTTCGGCAATATCCAAAACAGAGACATCTCACTAGCTGCCAAGCTTAACTGTAAAGTGGAAAAACTTCCTATTAAATACCTGGGTCTCCCTATGAAATATGGCAAATTATCAAAGACTGATTGGCAACCTCTACTAGACACCATGCACAAGAAACTTTCCACATGGAAGAAAAATTATTTATCTTTTGGCGGAAGACTGGTACTCCTAAACTCAGTTCTCTCTTCAATCCCATTATACTTCATGTCTTTCTACAAATTGCCTATTTGGTTGATCAAAGAGATAGATAAGATTAGAAAGAACTTTCTCTGGAATGGAACTGCAGATTCCAATGCCTTCAAATGTAAAGTAAACTGGAAAAAAGTTTGTATGAGTAAATATGAGGGTGGCTTAGGAGTTAAAGATTTGAATATCTTTAATTCTTCTCTTCTAGCCAAATGGCTTTGGCATTGTTTGGACATCAATTCTACTACTGGCTTTTTCCTTAGACAAATTTATTGTAAAAGGAACCTGAACATTCAGACTTTGAGGTCAAATACTTCACATTCATCTTTTTGGAATGCAATCATATCTCATAATGATGTTTTTTTCCAAAATATTATATGGAAACTAGGCTCTGGCAACATAATCAGATTTTGGGAAGATAAATGGCTTGGAGCTAACTCATTAGCCAGTTTATATCCATCTCTATATAACATGGCATTTTCTATAAATGCTCCCATAAGTAGCCAAGGAAGTTTCCAATCTAATGAATGGCACTGGCATCTTTTGCTTAAGAGAAGCTTAAATCAAGCATCACATTTGGACAGAGTGCAGCTTATGAATATCATTGGAGCTTTTTCTGTCAACAATCAACATGATCAGGCTAGGTGGTCTCTCACTTCTACAGGAGCTTTCACGGTAAAGTCCTTATACATTTTTCTCAATTCTAGAGGAATTCAATCTCCTATTTACAAAGGCATATGGAATCCTCTCCTACCAAGCAAGGTTCAGTTTTTTACTTGGTTATTGTTCAATAACAAATTGCACACTAAGGATGTTCTATCTTTAAAAGGCTGGCAAGGTGATACATTATGCAATTTTTGTGGTTTGGAAGACGAATGTCGTGAACATCTTTTCTTTTCATGCCCTTTATCTTTACAAATATGGAGACATTTTCAAAAGTATGAGCTAAATTTTCAATGGCCACATACTTTCATGGAGCTTCTACAATCTGTAGAACTTTTAAAAGGCATACATGGGCATCTTTGGCGACTCATTTTTTCTGCCACATGCTGGAACATATGGCTTGCAAGGAATAAGCTTATTTTTGATCATACACCTTTCTCATACAAATCCATTATTAATCAAATTATTTCTGGAATTTATGAATGGACAGGAGCAAGAAAAGGTTCTGTGGCTCAACGTTTATCTAAGAGACTAGAACATCATCCAATCAGCAGGGAGAATGTTTAAGAAAGCTTGGAGAATTTGCAGGAAGTTGATTTTGGAGATCTTTTGAAGTATTTTTGAAGTCTTCTTGTATTTTTGTTTTGGAACAGTTATATTTTCTTAGTGTTTTGATTTGTTAGTTTATAGAAAATCTAATTCAAGTAAATATACGTATGGCTGGCTTTGGTTCTTTCTTATATCTGTGTCAACGATGAGTGACGGCAAGGCCCACTCCTCATCTTCATAGATCTCTGAAAGAAGAAAGTTATACGTCCCTATTTAGTTGAATTCTATTTTCTATCTACCAACATTTGGATACATTTCGTATCCTACTTTTGTAACTATAACATCTTTTTTTTTTAATTTTAATGAACGGGGAGCATCCCTTGTTTTTCTGTCAAAAAAAAAAAAAAATCTTATTCCTGCCAAAGCTTACATAATTTTTTTTATAGAAAGCTTACATAAAGAATTAAAGTGCTCTCAATCTGATAGACAAAATAAATAAAAAATATAATAATTTGGATGTTGGATATATTTTCTAAAAAATTATAAGTCTGGTCCAAAGAGAAGTTTGATCCAAAGATTCTCTTACATTACATGTATCAATCAAGGAGAAAAATCAAGAAAATGTTAGAATCAACATTATGATTTAAGTTTCTTACCTCCCAAGTGGGTTGGTCCAAAGTAGAAGAAGTGAATAGATAATAGAGGGAGGTAGAGAGCTAGAGATTATGAAAAGCCTTAGAATTGGAGAGGACACAATTGTTGGGGTATTTTATCGATATTAGGTTGCGTGAGAGAAAAAGATATCAAGCTGTAGCGAAGCAACTCTATATGAACTATAATTGATTGGGTTTAAACGGATGCAGATAGTACTTAGAATGGGTAATACAATTTGGTTGGTTTGGGCGATTTGGGTTGAAAAAACTTCAACCTGATCTGAATCGAGGCATAGTAAAAACAAACCGAACTGTCAAATTTCGGCTAGTTCAGTCGGTTTGTTCGGTTTAAACCGAACTATGCTCACCCCTAATCTGATGTTTATAGTATTTTGTTTTCATGTACATGGAGCATATAAGGTTATTTTTCTATTTTCTTTTTTCTTTGGTCACCTCCATATCTATCTTTTTTAGTATTAGCTTAAATTAAGTCCTTCCATTTGTAATCATGATATCAAGGAGAACATCGAGAATAATATTAAAAAAGAATTCTTTTTATATATATTAAGAAAAGAATTATATTTAAAAATTGAGAAATAGATATCCTGTATGCAATAGTGTGTTTATGGTGCGTTTATGATTGGATTGAATATCCTCAACTAAATTCACATGTGTAGTATCTACTTTTACCATCTAATTTTTAACTTAATTAGTTTCTGCGGGAAAAAAAAATCTTTGTGGCTTCATTCTTTTTTCAAACATATAAGTGATCTCATAATTACTGTAAAACTGATCGGTGTAAAATCTCATTTTTTTTAGTTTGCTCCTTGGTGTCTCTGGATTTTATTGCATAAGCAAATTGATCTAGAAAGCGGAAGCTCTAAGAATCAAAGGTAGATTCACACATTTTAATTTTTTAACCAAGTGATTTACGGCCTCTAGTTTTGAAGCACAATTGAATACGAGATAGATCTTGTTCACATGCTAAGCATGTTAAACTTTGATTTTGAGAAAATAATTGCAATTTATTAAATCATTCCTTGACTTGAAGCCTCAAATCATGATAACTATAATGATAATGACTAAACCATATGTTACTATTGAGTTCAATGTGATTTTCTCCGTTATCTAGCAAATACTCTTGCTTGAAGATTTTTGTATTAAGGAAGATGTGTTTTATTAATTTGTGTACATAATTTTTTAGACAAATTATAAAGTCAATATCAATGATTGTTGCTATATATATAAAAACAAAATCATGTTAATACTTTTAAAGCAGAAGAGCAGGTTCCCATCCCCAGTAGTAGAAAAACCAGATATATAGTAGTTGAGTGCTGAGCAAAAGAGAGCTTACATTCAAAGGGACGCGGATAATAAAAGAAAGTGAAAAAGTAATGACTCTGCAAACAATAGTACAAATAGCACACGGCAACACTATATCTAGAGGACCATGTACCATCCTTACTAGGGGTGCATTTAGTTTGGATACGGTTCGGATATGATGCTTACTATATTCATATCTGCGTACCCATCTCGGATACGGATATGGATACGTATATACCACAGTAAGAAAAATTCATATCCATATCCACTAAAATCGGATACGGTTACAGATATAGATGCAGTTATATAAGCGAATATGCATGTGGATACCAAACGAATATGAGAAAACTACACAGTATTAAGAAAAACATAGTTCATGTGATAAAAAAAGATCGTTAATATGTTCATTATAATAAAAAAGCTAAGATTAGACATCTTGATCATCAAATTAAATTAATCATAAATCCATAATTTAAGAATCAAAACTATTGTAAGAGCATGACTAATATGTATTCAGATATTTTGAATACGGATACAGATATTTCACTACAAAACCTTATCTATAACCATATCCTATCGGTTATAGATTTGAGTAACCATATCCGTATCCTAACGGATACGGTTACATATATTTCCTCGAATATAGATACGGTTTAGCACCCCTAATCCTTATCATTAAATTTTGATTTATAATCTTACATATAGAAGTTTCAAATTAGAAATCATCATGCTACCTATAGAAGCATTGCCCTCGTACAAAGTATACTCGTACTGACCAATGCTCAGATGCAAACAATTTATTACTTACATTGAATCTGTAGGAGCTCACCTCAAGTAAAGAACGTCAAAGTTCATTCTTTTCATCGTGTATTACTAATGTTTGAAGCCTAAAATTTGCTTGGATCAATCAAAAAAAAAAATGTATGTGTGCCTCTATTTTGAATGTACATGAACTCACCTCAGAGAGAGAGAGAGAAAGAGAGAGAGAGAGAGAGAGATTCATGTTAGATCTAAACCGAAACTTGAGATCTAAAACCATATAGTCATGATTAATTCAAAGAGATTAACAAGAATTAAAAGAGCGGAAGCTTATACCTGAATACATAGAAGAAATCTTGATTTGGGTTTCAATGATCTTCTAACCTTAGGGTTTCTCTAAATCCGAATTTCTCTCTCTAGATGGGGGTGAAGAGAATTAGAGAGTGTAACCCTAGGTTAGGGACCATGACCCATTATTTATAGATGTTATACATTTATAATTTAGCCCCTCAATAAATCACAATTACAACCTGGTATCTGCACATATAACCCCATGATTATATTTAAATACCCATTAACCCAACTTAATTGATCACTTTAGTGGGTTATCCTGAAAGATAGCAATACACATTGATTAATCATATGTGCCCACAAATAGATTTATTAGATTAAATCCAACAATCTCCCACTTGGGCACCATATGATTCCTTAAATTGTGTATAACCTTATGAGCTCAAAAATTGCTATCACTGAAAAGGTATTTCCGAACAATCTCGTCCATTGACTATATCAATATAGGATTAAAGCGGCCTTCGTCATATTTATCGTGACTCGACCCATCAATGGTCACATATACCAATACAATCAAACGACATAGATCAATCATGGATGTGCAGCATGAAAATTACATGCAATGTGATCAGTACATGTCTATTTTCAACTGGTCCTCCTTAGTGAGGTCAAAACCAAACATAATGTAACAGAGTGTCTTAACTGAATACTTTATTCTGATCAGACAATACAACCAAACATAAAGCACCACAAATACAAACTCCCACTAAAACATAATATCCTCAAATAATACCACACCCATATGAGCAGTATGCTCATGAAAGACCTTGAGTGGCAATCCCTTAGTAAGAGGATCAGCTATCATGGAGTTTGTCCCAATGTGCTCTATAGATATTTGTCCACTCTGTACCCTTTCTTTCACAACCAGGAACTTAATGTCAATATGTTTTGACTTAGTTGAGCTCCTGTTGTTATTGGAATACATTACTGCAGATTTATTGTCACAATATAACCTTAGTGGTCTTTCAACATTTTCCAAAATGCGCAGTCCCGTGACAAAATTTCGCAGCCATATTCCCTGATTGGATGCCTCATAGCAAGCTACAAATTCTGCTGCCATAGTGGAGGAAGCTACTAGTGTTTGTTTGACACTTTTCCATGATATAGCTCCTCCTGCTAACATATAAATGTAGCCTGATGTAGACTTCCTGCTATCTTGGCATCCAGCAAAATCAGAGTCCGAATACCCAATGACCTCTAATTTCTCTGATTTTCTGTATGTGAGCATGTAATCTTTTGTTTTCTGAAGATACCTCATAACCCTTTTGACTGCTATCCAATGATCCATACCAGGGTTGCTTAAGTATCTGCCTAACATCCCAACAATGTACGCAATATCCGGACGCGTACATACCTGAGCATACATTAGACTTCCTACAGCCGAAGCATAAGGAATCTTCTGCATTTCCTGAATTTCAAGGTTACCTTTAGGGCACTGATTGAGACTAAACTTGTCTCCTTTAGCAACAGGGGTGTCACCTGGTCTGCAATCTTGCATGCCAAACCTTTTAAGTACCTTATCGATATAGCTCTTTTGTGATAATCCAAGAATACCCCGAGAGCGATCTCGATGTATCTGGATCCCTAATATAAAAGAGGCGTCCCCAAGATCTTTCATCTCAAAATTCTTTGATAGAAATCTCTTGGTTTCGTGCAACATGCCTATATCATTAGTGGCAAGCAAGATGTCATCGACATACAGAACCAGAAAAATATACTTACTCCCACTGAACTTGTGATATACACAGTCATCAACAATGTTCATCTCAAAACCGAACGAGATAACTATTTGTTGAAACTTATGATACCATTGACGAGGAGCTTGCTTGAGTCCATAGATGGATTTCCTTAATTTGCAAACCATATTCTTTGGGTCTCCTGACACAAAGTTTTCTGGTTGCACCATATAAATCATCTCATCAATGTCTCCATTGAGAAATGCAGTCTTAACATCCATCTGATGTAACTCAAGGTCATAATGAGCAACAAGTGCCATGATTATTCTGAAAGAGTCTTTCGATGAAACCGGAGAGAAAGTCTCTGTATAATCAATGCCTTCCTTTTGAGTATAGCCTTTAGCCACAAGACGTGCCTTATACCTCTCCACATTACCATTTGCATCCCGCTTGGTTTTAAAAATCCATTTACAACCAATTGGTTTTGCACCTTCTGGTAATGGGACAAGTTCCCAAACCTTATTGTCTTGCATAGACTTATACTCTTCATTCATGGCATCAATCCACTGTTGAGAGTTAGAACTTTTCATGGCCTGAGAGAAGTTGATTGGATCATCTTTCAACATTCCACTA